GCTTTTCAGTCTACTCTGTCTGGCGGGTCAAACACTCAAGAGTTTGAGAGGATTTTTAAAGGGGGAATTGCTCCAGTAGTACAGGTTTGGGTTTGCCTGTGAGGGGCATACTGATGAGCCTCAGAGATGGCAAGTGTGGTTCTAGTCGGCTGAAAACTTCTAGCCCCTGGGATCTTGAGCATCTCCTCTGAGTCATTTTCCATCCTCCCCGAGCAGTCCTTAACCCTTTCCGGTCCAACGTGGAGGCTGACTTGACAGACCAGGCGCTAGGAGCAGGTCCAACGTCGAGGCTGAGGTGGACACCGCAAACCGGTTCAACATTCAATCCCGTCAATTAATTTGGACCAGACTGTTTGAATTCCAAAAATAAAATTGGACCGCAGAGGGTTAAAGTGTGAACCCCAGACCAGCAGCACCAGCTGGGAATTTGTGAGAAAAATCACAGGCTCCCCTCCAGAATCAGGAATTCTAGAGGTGGGGCCAAGACACCTGTGTTTAAACAAGCCCTCCAGGTGATGGTGATTCTGATGCACTTGTTAGACAAGCGAGGGTGTGGAGTTGTGCTTTGATTTTAACATGCAGAGCAAGCATGTCAAACTCGCGGCCCGCGGGCTGCATGCCTTGTTTATTTGGCCCGTGTTAGCCTTTGAGTTTGACATGCTTGGTGCACCTCGGACTCTTGTGAAAGAGCAGGTTGCTTCTGTAGGTGGGACAGAGTCTGGGGTGGGCCTGAGATTCTGCATTTCTAACTCGCTCCCATGATGCTGAAGTTAGTGCTCTGTGGCCCCCCACTTTGAATAGCAGAGGTTTAGAGGAGTAAGACAGTCACTTGGGGAAGGCTTTAAAATGAAGTTCCTGGGGATCTACCCTAACACCCCCTCCCTCTGGGGCAGTGGTTCTCAACCTTGGCTGCACATTAGAATCACCTGGGAATCTTTTTAAAATCCTGATTTCTGGGCCTCATCCTCCGGAAATTCTGTTTCCTGGCCTGCACCTGCTAGATGCCACCGTCCCCACATGATCCTGACAATTAAAAATGTCCCCAGGCATTGCCAAAAGTTCCCTGGTGGCAAAACGAACCCCAGGATTGGGTCACCTGTTCAGACCCTGTTAAGGGGCCTCCCACAGAACTTTCTAACTGAAGCGCGTACTCAGACAGGCTGGGCCCTGTACTGAGAATTCACATTGCTACCTCTTAGCCCTGAGACAGGTCAGCGATTCCTTTTTACAGGTGAGTCAACTTTGGTTCAGAAAGGTTACATAAGGTGCCAATAGGCACACAGCTAGTTTCATGGCTAAGCAAACCCTGTGCCTGGAACCCAAGCCCTCACCAGTGTGCTGCACAGCCTCTCGTGGTCAGAGAAGGTTTACCTGGATAAACCCTCAAGGAAAATGGAATCAACCTTCTGTACTCGGGTAAACCAGAAGCCCCAGACCGTGGCCTCTAATTCATAAGTTAGTCGGGATCTTTTTTCTTAAAGACTTCAGACATGGCTCGCACCTCTGTAGGAGGGAGTACTTAGTCATTGTTATGGAAACTTTTTTTTTATATATTTTATTGATTTTTTACAGAGAGGAAGGGAGAGGGATAGAGAGCTAGAAACATCGATGAGAGAGAAACATCGACCAGCTGCCTCCTGCACACTCCCTACTGGGGATGTGCCCGCAACCAAGGTACATGCCCTTGACCGGAATCGAACCCGGGACCCTTCAGTCCACAGGCCGACGCTCCATCCACTGAGCCAAACCGGCCAGGGCATGTTATGGAGACTTCTTAAACTTCATACTTAGATTAAGCCATGTTAAATTGTCATCCGATCACTGGGCCCATGAAAACGAGGATTGCACGTGGCTCAGCCTTACTGAAAACAGAATGACACAGTGAGTTCCCTTGTAGCCGTAGCTGGGCTTCACACGTGGCCAGCCTGTTTCTTCCGTACAGCTATTCCCCTGCCCTGGGGTTTTTTTTGAAGTGAATCAGACATTTGTGCAACTTATGAATATTCATCCCTAAACTATGAGAACGTTTTTAGTAAAAGTCTTAATTTTATCTTCCCACTTTAAAAGTAAACCTTCTCAAACTTTTAGTTGGGTTCAGCTTCCCACCGTCTTCAATGGTTTTACAATCTGTTGAAATCAGAATCAAAATCCTGGTATTACAGACCATCATCAAGTCTCAGTCCCTGGTTTTCCCCCTTCTTTCATGTCATCTGCTGAAACGCCTGCGTTTCGTCCTGGGGAGCGGCGGTGCCTGAAGTGTGGTCTGTGACCTGTACTGCACTGAGGCAAACAAGTTCGGAAATGGGAAGTAAGCATTTAAAAATAGCCTGACATTGCCACGGCATCCAGCTTTCTGTTCTGTCCGGAATAACTCCTGGCCTTTTGTTCTCGTCTTACTTCACTTTTCCCGTAATTTGTGTTTATTACCTTTTTATAAAATTGTGGCCTGTGATGGATCAGGCATTCTCTTCCAAAGTAGGTCGTTGAGAGGCGCTTTTGCCACGTTTGACAGCCTGGATCTGGCCAGTCGCCTCCCTGTCACGATGCTGTGTTCTTTTGTCCCCTATACATCCTGGACACTTGTCGTTAGATGAAGATGGCTTTTCTAAGACCAGAATGCATGTGGCTTTCAGTTTTTAATGTTTTGTGTGTGTTTTTGAGAAGTGATGAAGGTCGGTGGAGTAAGCCCGCGCCTGCTCTATTATAAGACTTACATGATGCTAATATTTGAGAAATTAAGGAACACCTTTTGGTCTCCTTTTCAGCTTCAGAACTAGATAATGATGCCCCCAAACCAACTTGTCCCTCCTCCGACAGCAGCGACACCCAGAAAGCCCCTGTCGTGGCTCCTCCTTCCGAGTCAAAGCAACAAACAGCCACCCTTGGAGAGAGGACATTCAACTGCTGCTACCCAGGTAAAGGGTCACCTGGGGCACGCGAACCCGTCGGGCGCTGTTTAGCGCTGCGGGAACTCGCTGGCTAAGCCCTGAGCGATGCCCGAGCTTCTCTTGCGTATGCACAGCGCAGGGGCATCCTCTGTGGGTCCTGAGCATCAGCCTGTGCCTCACCGGAACTCCAGTTCATAGTCGCTTCCTTTTGGAGGTTATATTTTTTTTCTTTCTCTTCCAGGTTGCCACTTCAAAACTGTTCACGGCATGAAAGATTTGGACCGCCACCTACGAATCCATACGGGTAGGTGCCCATTCATTTGCTCAGCATTTTAGTATTAAAAACAAACAGCAGTACACAGCAAAGGGATAAGAATTAAGTGCTAGGTATATGGGGGTGAGCAGGACAAATAGCAGTCTCTGCCTCATGAAACGCAGTCCAGTGGTGGGGGAGCTGTGACCTAAAAAAGTAACAAATAGGCCAAAATGTTAGCTAACAGATAAGGGAAAAGTGCTCAGGAACCTATGTTAGAGGGATGTGATCTAGCTGCAGAAGCTGGGGAGGAGCAAAATTGGTATGAGATGCACGTGAACTTGGACACAGATCCTCCAGCCCTAGGCAAGCCTTCACAGAATTGCAGGCCCAGTCACTATCTCAATTATAACCTAACTAGAGGCCCAGTGCACGAAATTCGTGCACGGGGAAGGGTGAGTCCCTAAGCCTGGCCTGCACTCTCTCGCAATCCGGGACCCCTTGGGGGATGTCCAACTGCTGGTTTAGGCCCGATCTGGCAGTCAGACATCCCTCTCGAAATCCGGGACCGCTGGCTCCTAACCACTCTGCCTGCCTGCCTGATCGCCCCTAATTGCCTCTAAACACTGTGCTTGCCTGCCTGATCACCCCTAACCACTCTGCCTGCCTGCCTGATTGCCCCTAACTGCTCGCCTGCTTGCCTGACCGCTCCTAACTGCTCGCCTGCCTGCCTGACCACCCCTAACCACCCTGCCTGCCTGACTGATTGCCCCACTGCTCGCCTGATTGCCCCTAACCACTCTAATTAGCATATTAATCTTTTATTATTATAGATGAGAAACCGTAGCCAGAACTAACCAGCTAGGCTTCTCCTCAGAAATTTACTGAGATAATGGTTGCTGTTGTTAAATGGCATGCAATGAAGTTGGACAGGTTGGCACAGTAATCTTAGATAAGAGCAACAAGGTGGCACAATAATCTTAGATAAGAGCAATAGGTTGCTTCTTAAAGGTGCCTTCCAAGGTGCAACCAGCTGCAGAGAACACAGAACTAAGAAGCTGGAGTGGAAGGATTCCCTGATGTACATCAGGGTCTGCACACCGTGGCCCATGGGCCCATGCAGCTGGCATGCTCCTTTGTCCACCTACCTTTGTGGCTACTCTGCCCCTGCAGTGGCATCATTGAGTAGTTACTGGAGAAATGGGATGGTACACAAAGCCTGAGATACTGACTGGAACTTTTATAGTGTAGACCCTCTACTAGGTAGTGTGAGTTAGGATACTACAGTGGGGCCTTGATTTACGAGTGTCCTGACTAACGAGTTTTGCGAGATATGAGCTGTCTCTCGGCCGATTTTTTGCTTTGAGTTGTGAGCTAAAATTCGGGTTACGAGCCAGCTTCATATACCCCACCGCTAGTTGGCGCAGCGAACGTCACAGTGAACGCCACAACATCAGCCCAGCATCACCTGTCTCACTCGTTCACTTTAAGCGGTTAGCTCTTAGTTGAAGCATCAGTGTTGTGCTCGCATTTGTGCTTGCAGTTATTTTGCAAAACTTCGTTTTTTCAACCATGGATCTGAAGAAAGTAAGTGCGAAGGACAGTGCTGAGAAGAAGAAGCGGATGATGTGCATTGAATTAAAGAAAGAAATTATTGAAAAATATGACCAAGGTGTGCGTGTAATCGACTTGGCGAAGCAGTACGAGCGTAGCACTTCTACGATCTGCACCATACTGAAGCAGAAGAAGTCGATACAGGCTATAACTCCAGCGAAGGGCGTTAAAATCATTTCTAAACAGCGGACAGCTATCCATGAAAATATGGAGAAGCTGCTAATGGTGTGGTTAACGGAGAAGCAGCTCGCAGGAGATAACGTGACGAAGGCTATAATCTGCGAGAAGGCACGAGCTATTTACGCTGATTTGCTGCAGCAGACCCCGGGCACTTCAATGGACGAGGCGTCGGGCGAGCCGTTTAAAGCCAGTCGGGGCTGGTTCGAAAATTTTAAAAAGAGGACCGGCATTCACTCCGTTGTCAGACATGGTGAGGCAGCGAGCGCGGATATAAAGGAAGGTGACATCAACGAGCTCATCGAGGAGCACTCCGAGGAACTGACAACGCAGGAGCTAAAGGAGCTACAGACACAGCAGCACACGGAGGTTTTGCAGGAAATAGATGACACGGAGGAGGAGGTTATCTCTGTAAGTGAGATAAAGGAAATGTTAGGAATGTGGGAGAAACTTTCAGACTTTATTCAAAAGAGACACCCAGAAAAAATTGCAACTGGGCGTGCAATGGAGCTATTTAATGACACTTGCCTAACTCATTTCAGAAATATTCTGAAAGGGAGGATGAAACAGATCTCATTGGACAGGTTTTTATCGAAAACTCCTGTAGATGAAAGTGATGAAAGCATGGTGAAAAGGGCAAAAACCAGCAAATAAGATTCAGTTATTCAGTTATTCAGTTCAGCCTTTCTCCTCCAAGTCCATCAGCATCTTTAAGTCGTTTGATCTCCAAGGTAAATGCTGTACATTAAACTTAATAAAACAAGTTTATTGCACTGCATTCCATTGTTCAGTATTGTGTTTTTATACAATATTCGTTATTTTTAAATACATTTTTCTTATTTAAAAACATTTAACAAAACAATTGCGGTGTTTTTTGGGTGTCCGGAACGGATTAATGGCATTTCAATTCATTGTAATGGTGAAAATTGATTTGACATACGAGTAATTTGAGTTACGAGCTCCATCACGGAACGAATTAAACTCGTAAATCAAGGCCCCACTGTAGTCTGTTTGCTCATACAGAACCAAGCTACGTAGCTTAAACATTGTCAGGCTCATTTCTCTCAGAAGCAAGAGATCCACAGCGGTTAGACCGGCTTTGTCATCCTTAACATGGCGCTTCATCTCCGGTCCAGATTCCTTACCCAGTGGAAAACAGAAGTGGAGGGGGAGGGCCCACAGCCTCCCTCACTGGCCGAGCCCCAGAAGCAGCAAACCTTGTGGCCAGTGGAAGATGAGCAGACCTAGGTCTGCTCAGGCATCAAGGCATCGAGGGGGGAGGGGACTGGGAATGGTTTCAGGAAGGGCAGCACATACCCAGCCGAAACGCTGCAGCACCCGGAGTAGGACAGCTTTCTGGACAGTCGGCACTGTGTTGTGGAAATGAGGTGAAGGGTCGCTCTTTCCCGGGGAGGGTAGACCATGAGAGGCCTCAGTGAAAGGAATGGGTGATCCTCATCTTGAAAGATGAGGCTGCGGGATGACGAGGTCAGTAAGAGCATGCAAATTGCAGGAGCCATGTGAGCAAAGCGGAGAACCCTCTCTCCCCCCAGCATGGCGGGTTTGGGCAGCCTCAGGTGACTGAAGTGAAGCAGTTGTTCTCAGCAGTGGCTATGCTGCTGCCATCTAGTGGGTGGGGCCAAAAGTGCTGTCCGAATCCTGCTGTGCCCAGGACACGCCCTGTTATCAGGCCCCCAACGCTAGGGTGGACCTAGAGAGAGAGGCTGCGGCTGCGTTAATAGTGTTTTATTGGAGCCACGCAGAGCATGATGGGGGTACAGGAAGTCTAGGCAAGGCTCTGTCCTTGGTGGGTGCCCCGAGTCAGGCGTGCAGGTGTGGTGCAGACCAATTTGCTCCTTAACCCTTTGAGTGCCAACCAATATCCCAGGAACTATGCTAAAATTGCCAAGGCGTTTTTGCTGATTTTACAGCAGTTTAGGAAGAAAATTATGAATCGCAAGTAAATGAAGTTACATATTCAAAAACTTAAGGAAACCTTTACTACATTTGTTTTCATCTTTGATATATATTGTTTGCCGATTGTATTGTAAAATACTAGTAGAAAAAAAATTTGAACAAAACATAATGTTAAAATAGAGGGACACCCTTCTCCAATATCTTCCACAAAATCGTCATCTTCACAGCAAGAATTGACATATTTAGCAATATCATCATCACTAATAAAAGCAGACTTAGAACTGGATGTCATTTCAAAGCTTTAGGGCTACAAAATCTGAGTAAACTTCATAAAATCGTAGTACCTGTAAGAAATTAGGCAGATAAATGCCCGTGGTCTATTTTAGAACTACAAATATTTGGCATCATAAGTAATCTGCACTTAGGTGCCATCTGTCAATAAAGAGTGAACTACTAGCATCTAATAGTGACACTGCAGGAGGAGCGCGATCACACTCCCCAGCACTCTAGGGGTAAATAAATGTAGACTTGGGCTACTTCTCTGGGTCCCAGGCAACTGCTCCAGTGCTCATAATCTCTTACTCAGTGAAAAGTAGGGGACGGCCTGGGCCCTCGCAGCATCTCTCTCAGGGCATGACCCAGAAGTGGTATCCCTTGTGGTTAGTGGAATTGTGAGATCCAGTGAATGGAGACTTAGAAACAGAGCATTTCTGCCCCGCAACACAGCCCAAGTTCAGTGTGGTGGCTGGCCCCATGGCTTCAGGGACTCCGGCTCTTACTGTGTTGCTTTGATATCCCAAGGATGTTGCTCTCGCGAGCATGGTCTTTACTGCCACCTTAAAGACACATCCGAGCCTGGTCGGTGTGGCTCAGTGGTTGACCCTCAACCTAAGAACCAGGAGGTCACGGTTCGATTCCTGGTCAGGGCACATGCCCAGGTTGTGGGTTCGATCCCCAGTGTGGGGTGTGTAGGAGGCAGCCAGTCGATGATTCTTCCTCATTGATGTTTGTATCGCTTTCTTCCTCTCTGAAACCAATAAAAATATATTTTAAAAGAAGACAAGTGCTAGAAGCTACATGCATCACTTGGATTAATGAAGTCTTGAATCTGTGTGGCCAAGTGCCCAGCTGCAAAGGGAACATTCTCTTCACCAAGAAAAAGGACTGACACGCAGGCTAGTGGTGTGTCAGACCCAGCCTGGGTGGGAAGCACTTGTAGGTGAAGCATCTGTAAGTCAAGTCATTTAAGTCTTGAGCCCCATCTTGGCCAAATAGGTAGGACAGTGGTTCTTAAACTTCTATTTTGAGATCCTTTTACATTTAGAAATTAAAGCTCCCTCCCCCCAGAAAGAGTTTTTGTTTTATCTATAGTTGTGGCATTAGCAATCTTAAACTTTAAAATAATTATTCATTTAAAAATACAGTGGGGCCTTGACTTAGGAGTGTCCCGACTAACGAGTTTTTTGAGATACCCCCTGTCTTGGCCGATTTTTTGCGTTGAGTGGCTAGAGTAATTTGAGTTAACGAGCTCCTTAATGAGCTCGGTCTCGGAATGAATTAAACTCATAAGTCAAGGCCCCACTGTAACAGAAAACCCATTCTATATTAACACCTTTATAAAAAGCATTTTCCCAACCAAAAAGTAGCATAGTTTATGCCTTCGCAAATCTCTTATGTCTGGTTTCATAGTTGGCTGGATCCTCAGCTGTTCCTGTGTATAGTCCATTGTCGTGTGTTGTTTTGGTTGAAGCATATGAAGAAAACCTGGCCTCACATACAAGGCGGGCAAGGGGAAGTTTACAACTGAGCACACAAAATACTGAGCTTGTTCTTGTGTTATTATGTATTAGCTAGAGCCCCGATGCACAAAATTCGTGCAAGAGTAGGCCTTCCTTCCCCCCGCTGGCTGCTGGCACCTGGCATTGGCTTCCTTCTGGCACCCAGGACCCGGGCTTCTCTGGCAGCCCCAGCTTTGTCCGGAAGGTTGTCCGGTCTAATTAGCATATTATGCTTTTATTATTACAGATTATTGCATTTTTTTATACGAACAACTGTAAACCTACTTTTGCCCCACCCTGAATGTGATTGGAAATGGAGGAGTATGTTGATAGCCTTTTCAGATAGTTATTTTCCTTTAACACTAAACCACAACACAATAAATGGTAGTTTCTGAAAGGTTAGTGGCTAAGTGGAATCTGCAGCCACATTTCCACACACTTTTCAAAACTGTTAAGTTAAAATCCATTGATCTGAATGCTTTTACCCAGGCTTGATTGCTGACATGTCATCATTGGTCGTTTGGAAAACACTGGCTTACCAACTTCTGTAATTCTTCCAAATGTTGACTCATTTCATTATAACACAGGGAAAAATCACTTCTGTTAACATTACCAATCTCGTTTCTGTTAATGTTACCAATCTCGTTTTAAAAATCTCAGAACCAGGAAGCTGCAAGCCCAGAGAAGCGGATCTGTGTTCTGAAATCCTAACTTTCATTTTTAGGGCGTTCTCGAATGTTATTGTGGCATTGGTCACTGTCCTTGAAGTGACAGGCTCGCGTACCTCCTTCGGCCAAATACCAGATCTGAAGACAAAAAAACAAAGAAAGCCATAGTTTGTCAGTTGTTTCAAATCAAAACGGTGCGGCCTGGATAACGTTTGCAAGAGCTTGTCAGACAACCGTGTATTGTTTGCAGCAGCAGCAGCTTACACATCCCGTTTCATCACACAGGGTGTTCAAGAGGCTTATTCAGGGCGAGAGATTTAATCAGACGGTTTCAACTGCTGGAAAGGACATTATTCCCAAGTGAAACTGGCTCTGGCTTCCCTGGGTGGCAGTGGGGGGAGAGGGGGGTGCGCTGTGAAGGCTGTTGGGGCAGGAGGGAGAGCTTAGGTGTCAATAGACCTGCCCACCATCGCTCCTCAGTGACAATGCCAGTGATGAAAAAGGCAAAGCGTGCCATAGGAGGGGTATGAAAATACGTTGACCACAGACTCAGCCAGGTGAGTCTCGAGGACCCCCAGGCGCTCCCAGACTAAACTTCGAGGGCCCTGGAGGCCGAGTGTGACAGGCAAATACAGGCGTGGCTAAGGACAGGCATCTGTGCGCCTAGCGTGCAGGCTTGCTGAGGGCTTATTTGGGGAGTGTTGGGAAATCGGGCCTTGAACTTGGCTCGAGTCTTTTTATTACATTTTTTCTAAAGTCATGTTGGGGTATATGTATGTGTATGTATATGCATTTATACCTTAAATGCGAGTCTGTCTTGGATGGAAAGAAAAGCTAAATTTTCAAATAGACAATAGAAACAGAGTGAGGAGTTAGAAGGAGGAAGAGCAAGATAGAAAAGGCTTCATTTCTGTTTTTTCCCCAGTCAAATCTTAAGCAAGAAAATATAAACAGTAAATATATCTAGGTAGTTCTAAAAACAGCATCACTTTTCTCCTCAACTTTATACATTGAATATATATAGCTCTTACTGTCTTTCTTTTTGGGGGGCTTTTTTTTTTTTAAGAGAGAAAGGAGGGAGGGGGAGAGAGAAACATCTATCAGTTGCCTCCAGTACCTTCCCGGACCAGGGATCAATCCCACCACCTGGGTATGTGCCCTGACAGGGAATCGACAGGGGCCAGGACAGGTGGCAGTCTATTGGGACAAAAGTTATTGCCCTTCACCTCATTCACAAATTCCAAGTATATTAAATAAGTTAAGGATTAAAGTCTATACCATATTAGGAAAGGTAAGACAAATTTATGGTGTAAGTAGACAAAACCACTGAGAAGACAGATTAATGTTTCTAAAGTTAAAAATAACAAGACACCACTAAGAAGGGAAGACAAATGTCCCACAGGAAGAAATTT